AAAAAAAAAAAAAAAAAAAAAAAAAAAAAAAAAAAAAAAAAAAAAAAAAAAAAAAAAAAAAAAAATAAAAAAAAAAATAAAAAAAAAAATAAAAAAAAAAATAAAAAAAAAAATAAAAAAAAAAATAAAAAATAAAATAAAAAATAAAATAAAAAATAAAATAAAAAATAAAAAAGTAACTTAAGATTATGAATAACTATTTATCAACAGCAATTACCTTCGATTTCATAAAACCCTTTTCATGGTCTATAGTAGCGTCGATCACGCCATCACGAATAGCCTAAAAAATGATGGTAACTAATAAATAATTGAGGGTCTTCATTAAAGAAAATATATTATGACAAACCTTGGCGACAATATACTCGGCATCTTCTTCACTGTCCAGATGCAATTTCAAACAGATATCTCGCAAAGAAATTCGAGAATATGATAAACTTATCATCCTGATACCGGTTTTGATTACATTATGGCGAAGTCTGAAAAATGTATATACAAGTTGGTGTAATTTGACGTGTTGTCATAATATTCTATATAATTAAAGCTCAAATATTCATAATACATGCATATAAAGTTATTTTTACCTTAAGATCAAAGTAAATGTTTTATCAGCACGGAAGACCTCACCATATTTAGCTAATGTTTCTTGAAATTTTGACAAGTCACCAATTCGCACAGCTATAAAGTATCAATATAAATCGTTAGATATGCTTACAATTCCTAAGAGTAATTCTTAATAGTAATAAAAGCATCAATTTACCCTGAACAATATGCAAATATGGAACTAGTGGTTTTTTTAAAACCGGCTTTCTGAATATAGATCTTTCAGGGATTTCACCCATTAAAAGTTGAACAATGATCGAAAGTTTATAGACCTAATAGTGTTCAATTCAGTGATGTGATGTGTTTGTTATTGAAGTACAAAAATCAGCAATAATTCAAAGATAGTTTACCGCTTGCTGAAAACCAGCCGTCACGGTATTTTGAGGTGCTTTGCGAATGGCCTGCAATAAATGAGTATGCGATACTGTGTAATCGAGCTGAATGGCCTTGATACGACCTAAACAAAAATGGATATTCAATTGATATTACACATAATATGAGTATTGCAGATCGAAAACCTGTAACTGATCATAATGATTTATTATGGTCATTTACAGGTTCTTGCTTTGCAGCAGTCATATGTACATGATATATGTAACAGCTTAAAAGGTATTAAAAGAATCTACCTAAGTAATACATATATCTAGCTTGTTGGTTGTTTCCAGCAGTTTCAGGAAAGGTAGTTTTACTGACAAGCTTGTCAGCTTGATCGTACAAATTATAATGAAAATAATTTCTCAACAGCAAATTGAGTAACGTAGCCTATACATATACAGAAGTTTTAATTTGAAAATTCAGAAATGAAACATGACATTAAACATTAAAATACCTGAGAATCATCATCATGACGTAAAGTTGCAGTTCTTTGAGCCGCTAACAAAGTTCTAAGTAACAAAATTCATTGTAATTTAGCCTAAATAACAAAAATGGTTTAACTGAGAAGACGTGAAAAAACATACGGTCTAATTACAGCCAAATTTCCTGTAAGCTCGTAGAATCGAGCATAATAAAAATAGATACGTGCGGACAACTGATCTAACGTACGACGATTCAAACTTCGGATTTTGCCAATCGTTTCATTAGAAAGTTGGATACCCTTATATTAATTAGAGAATCTTAGTTAATGCCTTACAACTAAAATAGGAAAAACTGTTAAATAAGTTACCTTTTCAAACTCTTGCTTATCTAGCAAATATATCATCAACAATAAATGGAGATAAAGATCAATCTCCGGCAAGATTGGTGGATTATCTTTCCCAGAATCGTCAATGTCAACATCCATGACAACAATATCCTATTATGTTTTAAGTAATGAAAACAAAAGAATTAATTCATCATGATCAATCTTTTTTTTCAACAGTTTAGAGACATTGTAATACCTTTCCCAAATAATTCAATAGTCTGACTTTATCTGTAGAATCTATTTGTCAAAGTTCAAAGATCATGGTTATCAGCATTCCTGGTTAACAGTTTGTTAATAATTTCGTGAAATCCGGTGAGTATGCCATTTTCATTGATGATCTCTGTAGTGTTGCGGCAACATTCCCCATGATCAAGAATCGTTTGTGGCACAAACACGCAAATTAAACATTATTTGCTGACCTTTTGGATAAATATCTCTGATTGCCTGAGCCAAGAGATCTGCCGTCAAACGTTTCCTAATGGATGCAGTAGTTCTTAGAACACGTGTTGTGAATCGTGACTCGATAGTAGACACAGCACGTTCCAGGAGGGTGAAGTTTTGTCTGAGATCTATACATCAATATTATGAATAAACATAAAGCTTGAAATGTGATCCCAAAGACACATAAACTAAACCAACCAGATAATAGTAAAGCATCAGCCTCTAATGCCTTCTTTTCAGTATCGTCGACTTCGTCGGCATGCTCCATTTCAATGTCTTGATTTTCGACTGCCATGTTTACCTCTTCAGTCGTCTCTATTGGTTTGCTTTTGCTGCTTTCTTCCAGCTTCTTTGCCGTAGCTCTTGTAACGCGCTTAGGTGGAGTCGGTTGTTCTGAGTCGTTATTGGACTTCTTTTGACGGGTTGATCTACGTGGTGGATTATTGTTATTGTTATTTTTCTGATTCTGAACCATTATGCGTTAAAGAACAAATTTAGTTACTAACGAATGAAACTTACGTACTTATCGAGAATTTGGGACACGTAAGCATAACGTAATCACATCAATTACGATAACATTAGATCGACATGTCACACGTAAAAAAATTTATCATATCAGATATGATTATATACGTAATCATATCTGAAATGTGTTATCAAGTCCCTCAATGTTGAATATTTGGGCTAGGTGCTGCAAAAAATGAGGAAATTGACAAATTTTTAAAATCTAGGATTACTTTTTACTTAAGACACAAAAGTAGTTGCATTAGTAAAATTTTGCAATTTCTTAATAAAATTTATAACTGATTCTTCGAAGATCTTTTTTTTTGTTGATAATTGAAGTGTAAAAAAAAACGTCCTATGCAGAATGCGAAACCTTCAAAATTGCAACAATTTTGTCTTTTTGTTAATTATCTTTTCAAATTTTTAGTACGTATATACTCAAATTCTGGACAGCTTTTGTATCGGTTATGAGAGGTTATCGGATTTGTTGCTTAATAACAAATAATTTTGCTATTATAATTTAAATAAAAAATAATTTTTAAAAAAATTATCTAAATTTATATATTACTGAGATTGGTTTTAAAAAAAGACCATTTCATCTCTATTAAAGCAAATTAAAAATTTTTCATATAAAAGAACAAATCTAATTTATATATTTTTATTCTTTTTTTTATAATTCGTCAATCCTGCCTCTGTTTATTTGAGATTAAGCTATTCTAGAATTTTACATTTCTATTTATAGCTATTGCTAACTAACCAAACAAGAGACTTATTTCCAGCTTTTGTTTAGGTGAAACCTGCTTCAGTAGTTCTTGGCCTCCCTTCAGATTCTTAACTTACTAAGAACTTATTTCTCTTTGGTCATTGGCTGGTAACTATCCACCTTGTCAGTACTATCTAATTATAATTATATTTCACGATGTACTTGTGCTTTGGCTGTAGTTAGTATTTGCAAACAATGCAAAACATTGAATTGTTAATCTTAAAATAAGATTGTTATGTTGTGTATTTTCTTTTTTTCTAATTTGGTTATTCTGTTCTTGTTTATTTAGGATCAAGTTATTCAAAAATCACAGTAATATAAAGATTACAGAATTTTATCTATGGACTATAATAGAACAACTGAAGCCAAAGCTCATCTATGTATTTTTAAACATTAAACGCATTTCATCTTAGTAGCTCTTGGCCTCTCTTCAGGTTCTTAACTTACTAAGGATTTTTTCTTATTATTTATCAGCTGGCAGTTATACTGCTCATCAAAAAGCAAAATTAGAAAATAAAACGAAATGAACTAAGGAGAATGCATTAAAAATATACAAATATAGAAAGAAAGAGGTAGGAAAATATCAAAAAAAACAAAACAAAATAATTTTGCCTATCTTAATGCCACTATTATAAGCCTATAAGTGGCTTAAAAAAATTACATATTACTAAACAAACTAGTTTCTACTTCTATATTTACTACCTATATATTAAAGTAAAAACCTAATGAAAAAAACTTTATTAATTAGTTTAATTGTAAAGAAGTCAAAGCAAAGTTTCAAAGCATCATTTGTATAAATATTCATTATATTTGAGGCATATATATGTAGTGATTGTAGTCGATCATTTTTATCGACTTGACTAAGTCGATATTTAAAAATTAGCTTAGTCGACTATGACTTAGTTGATCAATTTGATTGGCTAATCTATGCACGTGATAAAATAAGTCAATATAATTGGCCAATAATATAACAGCTACTGTAAAATATCGGCAATTTTTGATAATCGAAATTTTGTTTCTTATATCATAACTGACTGTTATTTTTG